TAAATAATGTATATGTTTTGATATTATAAGATAGTATGATGTAAGTAAATAGGTACTATCAGTGTATGTGTTGAGATCCACTACCGTGGACCCCCATATTCATTTCATGGACCCCCAAATTTTTTTTCGCTGACGTAGACCCCTTGCAGGTTGTCATAGACCCCTAGGGGTCGATATAGACCACTTTGGGAATCAATGTGCTAGAGCTTATTATCTAAACCTTTGGCGTTCATAAAAAAAGAGAAAATACTCACAGTGTAAGTATAATGAAGGCGAAATGTTGAATCCGTTGCAATAAAAAATTTGGAAAATACCTTGTCAGTTGCAAGAATGCTGCCTTCTTTAGTACAAAGCCCTATTGCAAAATATTTTGACAGCGTCAACAATTACGAATGAAGACATAATCCAGAAAGGGGTACACTACACGGAACTTGCGCTTCCGAGCCTTGGAAAATCGAGATTATATCGCCGTATAATTCCGTACTTAGAAACTTTCCGAAGTCCATTAAGCTTATATTGTGCTGGAACTGTTACAAAGTACTTACAGTGCTGAATAAACATCGCGAATAGAAAGTTCACTGCTTAAAATCCGCTATAGAAGCTTGACTTGAATATCATGCTAGTGAATTATGCAGAGGTACATTTTCGAGTGTTAATATTTGGCTTCGTCTTGCGGCTTACTAGCTTTAAATTATGAAAGATCACGTTTCGGGACAATTTTTTTTGAGTTGGTGGTAATTAGGGTTCGACCTAATTTTTCAGCCGAGGCCGATGTTCCATTCTGCTTGGCAAACCTACTTGCAAATACTTAGATCTTAGCGCTAATGGGCGGCCCTATCATAGATCCAGAATGGAATGATAAATGATACTAGAATCGAAAAACTGTTCCTAGAATACCAAAAATTCACGGCAATCTACATGAATATGTCGTATCCGTTTTTGCTAACATTCAAAATACGAAAAAATAGGATATTTTAAAGTACTTAATAATAATAATAATAATAAGAATAGAATGTCTTTATTAGGCACATTATAAAAACTACAACATAATGTGACCTCTACGAAGGCGAAGTCTAGCTCTTGGCTACTCTACTTAACCTACCCAAATAATAAATTGAAACACTTAATCAAAGGAAACTTTGACAACCAGCTAAAGACGCTTCAAAACAACGAGCTTGGTAACTGGCTGACATACATATATACACACATATATTACGTAAAAATAAAATAAAATGTAAGAATTAAAAACTACTAACCACAATTACTACAGTGACAAATAAATCTATTTCACATGCTTACGAAATCTGTTTACTGGCCAATCCTTTATATTGTCATCTAATTCGTTATAAATCAGGATAGTATTGTAATTGTATGAACTACGAAATAAAGTTGTTTTATACATCGGGATCTCTAGTCTTTTTTTGTGTCTAAAATCAATGTCTGAATTACTTCGTCTGAAAACAAATTTCTCATAAAGATACAAGGGGGATCGAGAAGATATACACATCCAACCAAGCTGAAATCTCTTTAAGGAAACATGATCATACTTCTTGAGATTAAATACAAATCGACAACACGTATTTTGGAGTTTTCGGAGTCTTGCTTTTGTGATAGAATCAAGACAATGATAGAACACAGTGCTACAGTAAAATAAGCTAGGAAATATAATAGCCTCACATAACTTTTTTCTAACTTTAAAATTCAAAATAGAGCGATTGACATAAAAACACTTCAAAGTTGCATAACATTTTTTTAAGATAGACGAAACATGCTCCTTAAACCGTAAAGTATAATCAATAATCAACCCTAAATTGTTTGTAGTATTTACGACAGCTAGACGCTCCTTATCGATTTTTACATCAAGAGAATACAATATAGTGTTACGTTTGACAGCAGGACAAAAAAGCACTTATCCTTATTGAGCTTAAGATTGTTACCATTTGAGTATCCTACTATTGCCTCCAAATCATCATTAAGCTCATTGATTGAAGTATGTAAAGTGTTACTATTAAAGCTCTTATATATCTGTGTATCATCGGCATAGCACATCATAGAAGAGTTTTTCACAGAGCTATCCAAATTAAGTACAAGGGCCCTAAAACTGAACCCTGAGGGATACCTGACGTTATATCAATCGGACTAGATATAGTATTGTCTATCTCTACTTCTTGTTTACAATTTGAAAGATATGTTATAAAAACATTAGAGGTATATCTGAAAAACCATAAAACTTCAATTTAGCACATAAAAGCTCATGATCTATTTTATCGAACGCCTTAGAATAATCTAATGATACAAGTGCTGAAGCATCTCCCTTATCAAGCGAAGCAATGATGTCATCTAAAACCCTTGCTAAAGCTGTAGTTGTACTAAAACCACTGCGGAAACCAGATTCACACTTGGGAAAGAAATCATTAATGATAAACCTGATGTTTAATCAATTTCTCCAATATCTTCGATATAACAGGAATCAAAGTTATAGGTCTTAAGTCTGAGAGACATTTTGGATTTTTACATTTAGGCAAGGGCTTGACAAGAGATAGTTTCCAAGCATCAGGAAAATGCCCAGCCTCCAGGCAACAGTTCAATAAATGCGTCAGGGGTAGTAGTACTCGAGACAAGCAATGCTTCAGCATTGAGACTGCTATACCATCCGCACCTGCTGCATTAGATTTTAGGGACAGAATAATGTCTATCACATTTTGTGGGGTAGCCAAAATAAATTCAAATCTAGCACTTTCATTAATTTTGGTACTATTAAATTTATCAACTAGATCCTTGCAATTGCCCGAAGGCGTGAAAACGGAAGAAAAATGATTGTTTACTTCATCGGCATTTTGCAACTGCGTAGGTAAAGATTTATCTACATTAGTTTTGAGTTTCAATGAATGTCCAGCTTTCCAGAGATGCTTGTTACTATTTAGTTGTTCATTGAAGCTTAGATATGCTGCTTTCTCCCACCTAATAGCGGAAATGACATCATTTCTTAATTTCTGGTAATATTCGAGACTAGCTGGACTTTTTAAAAACTGATATTTTCTAAAGGCTTTATCTCCCACAAAGATCAAAAATTTTATGCCACCTGTGCTTCATGCAGCATAAGGTTTAGTAATACGTGCTGAAACAACAGGAGCATGGACATCAAACAAATCCAAAGTATGATTAGAAAAAAACGTAGCTTTATCCTCTAAGTTACTGGTGTAGTATACAAAGGGATCAAAACATAAATGTTCGTCAGCGCAGATTTACCCGTATGATTCTGCGTGAGTTTGATAGAGATCCGACCACAAGTGTTAGCAGAGTTTCTGGTGCCTTGCGAATTTCAGCAAGCCATGTTCACCGTGTTCTTAGAAATGACCATAGACGTCCTTACCATTTGCAACCTGTGCAAGGACTACAGTCAGGGGACGGAGAACGAAGAATCACATTTTGTCAGTGGATTCTTGATAGAACTGATAATAATAGGGAGCTTTTAAGTAACGTTTTATGGACCGATGACTATTTGGACCCTACCTTTTGCCTGCGACCTTCTTGGAATTTTTAAAGGCTGAACCTGCAAATATGTGGGATGATGTTATGTTAGATTTAAGAAGATTGGCCTGGTTCCAGCTTGATGGTTGTCCAGCTCATTATTCGAGAATAGTTAGAAACTGGCTGGATGAAAATTATCCAGAAAGATGGATCGGCCGTGGAGGACCAGTCGCCTGGCCTCCACGATCCCCTGACCTAAATCCATTAGATTTCTTTGTGTGGGGATTTCTAAAAGAAAAAGTGTACCAGACTCCCGTAACCACAAGAGATATGCTAATAGACAGAATCAGGAATGCATGAGATGAAATAAGGCCTTATTTGAATAATGCTATACCACGTTCGATCATTCGTAGATGAGAATTGTGTATTGAACAATTGGGTTTACATTTCGAGCAACTACTTTAGATTTTGTATGTTTGTCCTAACTAGCCAATAGCATTTTAGTTGTAAATAATTAATTTAATTTGTTAAAAATAATATTGGAAAATTAAAAAAATTAATATTCTGTTTTTTTGTGTTTATTTGGAGTTAGGAATTATTGCTGTGTTTAAAAACACAATCTAAACGATCATCTTAATTACTTGTAATGCCCAAATCGAAAATGTAAAAAAATATTATTTTCCCATAAATAATTAAAAATGCATCGAACCTTAAAAATCGAAATATCTCAAAAACGGTTAACTATAACGAAAACTCACAGGAGAACTTTTTTATGTTGAAAAGTACGAAGAATCAGTTTTTTTATTCAAAAAGCAAAAAATTGCACTAAGAAAAAATTTTCGGTCATTGTAATACACTACAGGTACAGTAGAGAGCGCCCTCTAGCGGCTACAGTAAAACTATGCCCATGGTTCGTTTTGTCGTAAAAAAAAACCCTTGTATACCAATTTTCACTGTTGTACATCAAATATTGTTCGAAATATTTAAAAAAAACTATTTTAGAAAGTAAATTTAAACACCCTGTATTTCGAAAGCCACGCATTTTTCGACCCATGTTTATATAGACATGCATTAATTTTAAAAGTTCTATCGAATCTTAAAGTTATGCAACAATAAACTGAAACACCCTGTATATCATCCCATGGGATTTTATACAAATCCACCAAAAACTGATATTTACAACAATGTTTAAAGCTTCTATATTTGACAACCTTTTGAAAATTCTTAGGTCGTGTGATGTTGAAGTCACATCTGACTACATTATGATCTGACAAATTCGGAACAGGTGCAGAGCTAGTTGAAATTAATGATTCAGCTAAGTTATTTGTTGTACAAATGACATCTATGGAGGTTGCTGTGGTTAAAGTTATCCTAGTTGGTTGGGTGATGTGAGATACCATATCGTAGCACGTAATGCAATCTAGAAAAGAATGATCAGTAAGTTGATCAACGTTTATCAGTCGCGGAACCCAAATATTTGAGGCTCTTTGAACGGTGGACTATTCCCTATTTTGGAATATTCTACTTACTAGATTCCTTACTGTGTTATGAATATCTACAATGGCAGCTTTCTCCTCCTCACTGAAACCAACGTTGACCGATCCTTTGCACGCTGGCCCCATTTTGCCTTTCTCGTAGAGACATAGCGTGTGTCTTCCACATTTTTTACCTACTGGGTTTTTTGTTATGTTCAAACAGCATAGACTGCAGTATGCATTGTCTGGTCTGCTAAAAGAAGTGTCTTTTCAATATAAAATACCTGTACCGGAAATCCTCATTTTTGGTATCTCTGTTTGACGGTGTCTGTTTGTCGATGTGTCTATCTCCTGGTCTTTCTGTCTATCGCTTTGTCTGACTATCGGTCTGTCTGTCTGTCCGTTTATAATTTGGAAAGTACTGCTTTGGATGCCAAAGGTAGTAATGGGTGATTTTTTTACTAGTATCTTTTTGGCAACACTGTTTTTGACAGATGACGCGCGAATCGTGTCTTGTGTAATTGTCAAACTTGTTCAGTTTGGTCTATAATTTAACCATGAATCGACTTACGAACGAACAACTCTGCAAATTATTGAATTTTACTATCAAAATTCATGCTCGGTTAAGAGAGTGCATCGAGCACTGCTTCCAATTTATGGGCAATTTGGTCGGCCTACTGAGGGAGCTATTCGGAAGCTTGTGACTAAATTTCGAACCCAGTTTACATTATTGGACATTAAACCACCAACACGCAGACGTAGAGTGAGGACTGAAGAAAATATTGAGGCTGTATCCGCCAGTGTTAGTGATGACCGTGAAATGTCGATTCGCCGCCGTTCGCAGCAATTGGACCTCTGTTACTCCACTACGTGTAAAATTTTGCGACAGGATTTGGGTGTAAAACCTTATAAGATACAGCTGGTGCAAGAATTGAAGCCACACGACCTCCCACAACGTTTCCCATTTGGTGAATGGGCGCTGGCAAAGTTGGAGGAAGATCCACATTTTTATCGAAAAATTGTGTTCAGCGACCTAGCTCATTTATGGTAGAATGGGTACGTTAACAAGCAAAATTGCTGCATCTGGAGTGAAGACCAGCCAGAAGCATTGCAAGAGCTACCAATGCATCCCGAAAAAATCAGTGTTTGGGCCGGTGGCATCATCGGGCCGTACTTCTTTTTTTGCCCAAAATGGATGAGCTGGACTTGGCTGACATGTGGTTTCAACAAGACGGTGCCACATGCCACACGGCACACGAAACAATGGCCCTATTGGGAGGCGAGTTCGGTGAACAGTTTATCTCACGTTTGGGGCCCATCAATTGGCCGCCTAGATCGTGTGATTTAACGCTGTTGGACTATTTCTTGTGGGGCCATGTTAAGGCTAATGTCTACAGGGATAAACCAGCAACGATTGACGCACTGGAAGCCAATATTGAAGCATTTATTCGTGAGATACCGGCCGATATGTTGGAGAGAGTGTGCCAAAAAGGCCAAAAACGAAGAAAAAATAAAAATCGCTCAAAGTTCGTTTTTAACGTTCCAGAATGTGCAATATAAAAACATATAGGACTGAGATAAACGCGTTTACATATTAATTATTCTTACCGTTTTTAGTAAAGCAGATTTAAGTCTCTTATTTGTTACTATTACGTTCAATATAACGATACCAACCTTGGACCTGCTTGGTTTTTGAACCAAATCCGCGTCTTGTTCCTAGAAAGAAAACTAAGCATCCGGTCATGCGATGTCAAACATTTCGAGAAAGGTATTAAAATTAGTAAAATGAGGTAACCGTGAATTTCCATTCTAGGCGCGTACCAATAACGTCATGTTGACTGAAATGACATACTTCTATCATATAGTCAACGCCAAACAAAGTGGCGTGCACGTCATCACGATAAAAATTCCCCGACCTAATGCCTAGGTTTCTATCACAAACAATTGCTCTATTGCAGTTTCATATTAATGTGATATATAAATTGTAAAATGGTCATTACTCTCTTATTATGGTTAATAGTCATATAAACATTGTTATTAAAATATCACATAAGTTGCTTTCTGATAAATTTAGACGCATTATGCGAAATAAAATGTTTTGCAAACGCTCCAATCACTTATCGACATGTAAACGCACTAAACCGATTTCGCAGCGTTGACACATTGTCACCTTGAAACTTATTTAAACTGGGAACTGACATTTGTATTAATTTTGACACTGAATCAATTTGTGGCATTTCAAATCTTTATAAATCCTTTGGCCCCGCATACTGTAAATCAACAACTATTTGTTTCAAAACAAAATTATTCATTTTACGAGTAGATAAAGGCAATTTTGGTATATAAAGATGCCCAAACAGTTAAATAGTCGGTGTAAGGAACTCGTGGCCTCGTTAATGCACTACTTTGAGCAAGAAAGGGACAACAACGGGCCTTTGTTGCCTTTAAATGCTGTTCAAGAGGTAGGTTACTAATAATTATATGTAATGTATATTAATAATAGTGAAATTTTATTTCATTTTTTGTAGCGTGTTGCTGCTGCTTTAAAAATTAGTTTAAGGACAGTTAGTCGTATTTCCGAGGGTGTGAAAAGTGATGCAAATTTAGAATCGCCCAAGAAAAAGCGGAGTTATATTAAACGTGTAACCAACACAGCGACATTGGATGATACAAGTGCCATTCGAGAAGTTTTCTATAATATGTATCACAAAAGTAAGATCTTATTATAATAACTTATCAGAAATTTGCATTAATTTGTTAACTAAATTATAATGTCATATTACACATGGTTTCAGAAGAACAAGTTACGATACAAACTTTATGGTCTCGATTAAGAGATAGGGCATTATTTGATGGTAGTGCCACGTCTTTAAGGCGGTTGCTTAGAGATCTTGGATTTAAGTGGCTTAAGGACAATCCGCGACGAGGGCTCATGGAACTACCAAGTATAGCTTTGAAAAGGGTGGAATTTCTAAGGCAATACAATCAGGCCAAGGTTGAGGCCTTATACCAGTTTGTCTTCCTCGATGAAACTTGGATATTTCAAAATGGGACCATAGGTCGCTCTTGGCAAAATGGAAACCAAAAAAGCGTGAAAGCTATTAAAACAGATGGTAAAAGGTATGTACTTTTACACAATTTGCACTATAAAATTTAAAACTAATATATTTTAGATACATTATATTACATGCTGGAAATGAAAATGGGTTTATTGAGGGTAGTGAAGCGATATTTTCTTCGAAAACAAAATTGAGCGATTACCATGGAGAGATGAACCAGGACAATTTTTTGAAATGGTTTCAACATCAGTTATTAGAAAAATTGGAGAGTCCATCTATGATTATACTGGATAACGCCCCTTATCACAGCATGATATTGAACAAAGTGCCCAACAATGCATGGACAAAAAAAAATATCCAAGACTGGTTGACAAATCAAAACATACCATTTTTAAACACAATGTTTAAAACAGAGCTATTGAGTATTGTTGCTCGGTACATAATGCTTCTTAATTATATATATTTTGGTCGACAGTTTATATTTCTTTTGTTTATTCCTATTCTTAAAATAACTGCTTTTTTAGAAACAAACCACCTAAAATATACGTGATTGATGAATAGGCGGAACAACATGGGCACAAAGTTCTTCGTCTGCCTCCTTACCATTGTATATTTAACCCTATTGAGTTAATTTGGGGCATAGCAAAAGGTTACTATAACAGACATATTGGTAGAGATGGTAACAGTGAAAAAGACTGTTTGGATATGTGGAACGAGGCTCTACAAACGGTTACCCCAGACATGTGGAAAAATAGTGTTCGACATACTGAGCAAGAAATTTTTAAATGGTATGAAAGAGAACGAATTTTTGATCGACCAGACATCGAACCTTTAATAATCAACTTTGAGAGTGATGAAGATTCAGATTCAGACAGCGCTGAAGAAAGAAACTCCGACTAACTTTATTGTACAGAAAAAGCTTACACCAGTAGCTTACCTAATTTTAGAATGCATTTTTCTGTATGAATTCTGTAAAATAAATACCATGCATAAAATTTGGAGGACCCCATTTGGATTTTTATTCAGTACCTTTAAGCTATCAATTAAATATGGTAGTTTCATAGTGTCATCTGATCAATAATTGTCATACTTAATGATTATGCAAGTACAGATCTATAATTTTATTATACTATTATTTTTGTTCTCATTTGAGGTTAATATTGCTTATAAACCTAGATATGTAAATAATACATTTTATTATTTTACAAAAAGTTTGGCAACAATGTAAATTTTTCAACACACCCACCTTGATGACGTGCACGCCACTTTGTTTGGCGTTGACTATAGATGACATTGCCTCAAAAAGCTTTAAGCTTTAAGATGGTTTATTAGAAACCAGTGTTCTTCTTTCAGATAGATCTGTATTATTGAACAAAACAAAAATTCTACTTATAACGGGTTATTTCTTCAGAGATACTTCTTACAAACATAGCGATGTAGCGAACAAGCGGACTCTCATTGTAATCCTTTGGGCTCTAGTATGTTGTCTAGCAATGTTTAACCTCAAAAGCTAGATAGCCGTGAGTGTTGCAGATATCACTAACAAGTTATGTTTAGTTTATTCAATGGCAACTAGACCATATCTAATTCACAGCCATACAGCGGTCACGTGGTGTCTCGTCTATTAAACGTGAACTGAGATACTTAACAGTTCCATTTCATAGCAGCTATGTGCTTTCCGCAGTGGTTGATTCTGGTGTGATAGATGACAGATCGCACTTTGCGCTGTCTTATTTTGATAGACCGTACCTCCGGTATAGAGGATAGTTGCGATGTTTTCGTTCGTTCGTCCTGACACAAGATACCAAGCCTAGACAATGCTGATGAGTAGGTAAGAAGCACGAAACAGCTGTCCATGGTTGGCTGTTTTTTTTGGTCTGCCGGTTTAGTATGTTGAATATACGAGGGATGTCTTTTAAGTTTTGCATATGGAAGTAAAACAACACGGTAGGTAGTTTTAAATGACTTTCTTGTTTTTCGAAGTGTTCTCCACGAAGATTAATACACATCTGCAACTCAGCAAGGCATTCTTGTTGCGATAATTGTCTATGAAAGTTGTAATAAATTATGGCGCGAAAATGTTCTCGGTTGAGTTCCATTTCTCTAATGACTTGGTGACACTTAAAAATTCACTGTAGTGAGAACACTGCACGTATTGTTGTGAAACTTTGAATTTAAGTTTACTAAAGGGTGAGGTTAAGATTCAGTACTGACGTTCGATCCGCGCGGCCTACTACGTTTCTATATGTAAAACTTAAAAGACATCCCTCGTACGTCTACTTTGCTTAATATTTTAACATGAGCTATTATTTTTAATTGGCCGTATCTGTGTAATTAAATTGATGAAATGACATGATCACGAAATTCAACCATCTTTGTGTGAAGAAAATAATTTCGAAGTTTGTGAATATGAAATAACAGTTTGTGACCGAAATTCAGAGGTTCAAACTGCGGACGGCTTTTTTCAGTTTCAGGTTAACTAATCAATATTTCGCCGATGAGTCCAAACAAGGACAAAACAGGTCGTGAATGCGATTGACTGAGGGAATGGAAAGTTATATACAAGTCGACGTCAAGCAGGAAACGGAGCATATACAGGGTGTTTCAGTTTATTGTTGCATAACTTTAAGATTCGATAGAACTTTTAAAATTAATGCATAAAGTCTATATAAACATGGGTCGAAAAATGCGTGGCTTCCGAAATACAGGGTGTTTAAATTTACTTTCTAAAATAGTTTTTTTAAATATTTCGAACAATATTTGATGTATAACAGTGAAAATTGGTATACAAGGGTTTTTTGGTACGACAAAACGAACCATGGGCATAGCTTTACTGTAGCCGCTAGAGGGCGCTCTCTACTGTACCTGTAGTGTATTAAAATGACCGAAAAATTTTTCTTAGTGCAATTTTTTGCTTTTTGAATAAAAAACTGATTCTTCGCACTTTTCAACATAAAAAGCTCTCTTGTAAATTGTCGTTATAGTTAGCGGTTTTTGAGATATTTCGATTTTTAAGGTTCGATGCATTTTTAATTATTTATTATAAAATAACGTTAAAAAGTCAGTATCTCGCTAATTTTTTGAAGTAAGCTGTGCCTGCAAATATTTTTGAAATTGAAAGCAGAATAAGGTTAAACGTCAATTAGTTGACAGTTAGTTTTGTTGTCTGTTGAAACATGAAACGTTTTTTTGCAATTGTGAATGCACGAAATTTAGTTTCTTTTACCTGTTTTTTTTGTAAGTTTTATAAAAATGCCATTTTAATTGTCCAATCAAGAGTTACGGGATATTCATTTTGTGTATGGCTTTGTAAATGGAAACGCAGCAGAAGCAGCCAGAGAATACGCACGAAGATTTCCAAACAGACGATATCCAACTCGCTCAGTATTTGTAAGAGTGCATCGCCAAATAATTGAAAATGGTTTTGGAAATCTCCAAAGGGATTAAAACACAAATGTTCGTCAGCGCAGATTTACCCGTATGATTCTGCGTGAGTTTGATAGAGATCCGACCACAAGTGTTAGGAGAGTTTCTGGTGCCTTGGGCATTTCAGCAAGACTTGTTCACCGTGTTCTTAGAAATGAGCATAGACGTCCTTACCATTTGCAACCTGTGCAAGGACTACAGCCAGGGGATGGAGAACGAAGAATCACATTTTGTCAGTGGATTCTTGATAGAACTGATAATAATAGGGAGTTTTTAAGTAACGTTTTATGGACCGATGAGTCATGCTTCACTAGACGTGGAGTGGTAAATTTTCATAATCAACATATTTGGTCGCATGAAAATCCGCAT